GGCCATCCCTGATATATTGGGTGTCCACTGAAATTTGTCACTACTTTGTTTCTTCAAATTTCCATATAAAAGAAATATTAATTTAAATGTCATTTGTGTTATAGATTATATAGTATTGAATTCACTTTAGGTCACCTAAAATTTTTTTATTTATGATGACTTTGGTTTTGATCATTAGTCAATGATAATGATATTGTCTTTGGGAAACTATATACATTGAGACAACTATTCAACTATTAATGCAAGTGTGTTGTATTGGAGACCCTAGAAAATGAATGCTTGGCAATTGCAATGAATTTATTGGAGGAAATTGAGGATGAGGTGGACCATTTAAATACTTATCAGAATTTGATTAATGTTATTTGGTTCTCAACAGAAAGATGTAATATGAAACAACCTTTTAATATCAATTTATCTGCATTTACTTGGTTCAATGGGGATTGTAGATTACAGTATTTAATAGACAAAAGATTTTGATGTTAAGACAATTTTGAAAATTCAAAATGTAGAATTTAGACTGATATTATAATTAAAAAAAAATGTTTCTTTTACTATATAAAGTAAAAACAAATTAAAGTTACATATAAAATATTCAAAGATGTAGCCACATGGGTAGCAAGGGATGGCATTTCCCACACTAATGTGCTTCCACCCCTCATTCTCTGCCAGACCCCATTGCCAACCTCCACTGCTGCCCCATACAAGATTAAAAGTAAACATGTAAAAAAGTCATAAAGAAGTTGTCCACTGGATGAAACAGAAAACAGGCACATCAGGCTCAAATACTAAGCTACTTGATCAGTCATGAGGTAAAGAAGAATAACATTTAATATTTGTTATGCTGTTTGTTTGTTTTTATTGAGCACTAGCTTACCCGTCGCACATTGCTGCGATCTCAAGAAACGAAATTCAAGCAAATTTGTTATAATAAAATTCAATTTACATTTTATCATTTTTATTGAAACTTATTATTATTATATTATTATTATTATTATGTTGGGTTTTGTGAGTTATACTCGGTTCACACCGGTGGCTGTGTACTATGCCGGACCAGAGTCAAGGCATAGCAACCAAAACAAAACTAAAATTAAATAAGTGTGTCAGTGTGTGTGTCTGTATTCAGGAATTTCCTAACAATGTGGCATGTATTCNATATAGTTAAAGTTTTAACAAAGTTCGAGCTAATACATAATTAGCAAAAAATAGTTGAAATAAAGTGATTAAACAAAAATTATTACAAATATCGTAAATAACAGTTCACAAATGCATATATAGAGATATTTTTTGGAGGGGGAAATGGTCTTCACAATTTGAAATTGATCAAACTCATGATGAAATGCTCATATACACTTGTGCCACCTATCGTAGGATAAATGTACTATGCCAGAAACCTTCATGGGAGTGTATTAAAAAACTTCCCAAAGTTTCATGGCAATCAGATAAACGGTGTGGTAATGCATGAAGGACAGACAACATACATTCATTTTTATATATATAGATTGTCATACATATTACTGATTTGTATATAACATGCAGGAGGCTGCCTTATCAATATGGCAACATATTGCACAACAATACATTGCTAATGATCTTGGGCTATTGTGTTTTTTACATAATAAATATATTTACTTATACTATCTCTACAAGCTATCAGCGATGCAAGTGACCCACATTCAGAAATTTCTAGTTACATCCCCGAAAATTGTAAAGAACTTTGGCTGATGGTTAACAGATATGATGGAAGAATTAGTAGATTAGATAAAATTTCATATGAGAAATGGGTGAATTATTTTAAAACTATTTTTACAAGTTTAGAGTCTAGTCTGATTTGCTATATTACATGATTCTACTATTTCTACTTTAGATAATGCGTTCTCATTAGATGAATTGAGACAAGTGATCTTACAGATGAAATGTGGCAAATTTACAGGTTAAGATGATATTAGGAATGAATTTATTAAATATTTACCACCTGTTTATAATTCAATATTTCTTTGTTTATTTAATTCTAAGGATTGTAATGATATAAATTAGTAAAATTCAAAAGACATTAAGTTTTCTGTTTATTATTTATAATTCTATTTGTTGCCATAGTAACAATTTCAAATTATTAGACTAAGAATTCTGTTATAAGTTTTATTAAAATAACTGTGCTATTGCTTTAAGCAATGAATGAAATAGACTGTCAAAAAAGCAATTGTTGACAGTTGACTGGAAAATCAGAAAACCAAGACATTTCACAGGAAAAGAGTTACAAATTTCCCAAAGTATAGTGGATGAAGTGTTAAATCAGTATTGTTAGACATTGTCCATTTCTTGAAAGCCAGATTCCTGTGGAAAATATGGTGCTCGCATCTCAACCAGAAGATACTGCAAGTTTTGAAAATGTCTTTGATTAAGTTAGTGAGAGATGTTGCAAAAAAAATGTGGAACTAATCAAACAATGGTTCAAAAGGCTAAGCAGCATGCATGTATGAAATCATATAAAAAAAACAAAAATCCTAAAATGACTGAAAAACGAAAGAAGGTAATTAAAACTAGAGCTTAAAAATGGTATTCTTTAATTGGCAAGAAGAATGCTTGTTTGGTTTTAATGATGAAACGTGTGAAGGCTAACTTCTCAACACTCAGGCTCATGCTATTATACAGCATTTGAAGGAGTTCTAGAACAAGGGTGGGCAACCTTTTTTATAATATGGGGCAGAATAAATTTTACGTTTTTTCCGCAGGCCATAGTTGTTAATTGACACCTTGTGACCTGTAAATTTTTAGTTTGCAAATATGAAATAAATAAATAAATAAATAAAAAGAAATTAATTACTACAGTCGACCTCCCCTATAACACTGTTGATTATTCCGTTTTATATGAATTCCATGTTGTATGAGTCACTTAGATTTTACAAATGCGTGTGCCGGGCTGTGAACGGCTCACCTATTTGTAAAATCTAAGTGACTTTAAACACAATAAAAACAGCACTATGTAGTTGGATACAACAGACATTACATTTTCTAATTGCATAGCTTTTGCACATAGATTTTCTTGATGGATGATGCGATGAGATATAAATAATTTAGAAAAATTCTGTTCTCCCATTTTTTGTTTGAATAAGGAAATGACTCCCTTATTTTTTCCTGTCATTGCTGCCGCAACACTTCAGAAAATAATATTCAATTTAAACTAGACGAATTACATCGAAAAATATTTATTAATAATTTCTTCTAAACCTCTCGTGGGATGGATAGAAACTTTTCGCGGGCCGGGGGTTGCCCACCGTTGTTCTAGAATCTCCAACATCAATTGGTGTTGAAAAGTTTGGTTTAAAATATCTGGTATGACAAGCAATTTGCCAGTGTGCGTTGAAAAGTTCATAATTTGTGACAAGAGGAAATATTAGTGCTGAAATTTATATTAACAAATGTTTAAAAAATTCATATTCCTTTTTTAAGAAATCAAGAGAAAAATCATACATTGTTTTGGCCAGATTTGGTAACAATACACTATGCAAAATCCACAGTAAGTTGGTTGGAACAGCACAGAGTTGATTTTGTACCTAGACATGAATCCCCAAACATATCACAATGCCAACCAATAGAATAATTTTGGTCTCTTGTAAAAAATAAACTAAAAACAGAACAAACAGCAAAAGACATTAAAGATTTTTCTCTGAAGTGGAAAAGAGCAGTCATAATGATTGAAGGAAATACTGTCGAAAATCTTATGAAAAGCATTCAAAAGAAACTTCAAAAGGAAGTGGAGCAAACCTTAAATGTTATAATTACAGTAGAGCGTCGATCAACCGAAATGTCGGTTAACCGAAAGCGTTTCAGTCGGACTGTGTCATGCTGAATAGAATGTTTTTGATACTAGATTAACTTCTAAAGTATCATTTTTTTGTTTTATATTTTTCAATATATTTATTTTGTTTGTACAAAATAAAGAAATAATTTTTAATGATACAATAGCCATGATTATTATTATAAAAATTTTTGTTAGGCTTAACATCGACAAAAATTCAATGCAATACAACATGCAATGGAGAAAAATTTAAACATGAGAGATATTAATATACTATTATTGGGATATATTAATATACTATATTAATAATGTATTTTTTCGTACATAATCATTTATCTGAAAAATCGATTTTCCGAACAACCCCAGTCCCCAATTGATTTGGATAATCGACGCTCTACGTATTTAAGTTGTAATGTATTTTAAAAAACAAACTTTTAAATAAAAGTAGTTTTCCTGATTACATTACACATAGTTATTACCTTTTTGAATTTTACAGATTTATAATGTTACAGTCCTTATTAAACCAACTTTAAATCTTCCAGAATCCTTGTAATAATATTATTTTAAAGATGATATATAATTGGGGGACCCAAAAGTAATGGGAAAAAATTCAGAGAAAATATGTTTTTATTTTAACAATTTCATATTTTAATCTCCTTCAAAATACTCTTCATTACCTCAATACACTTGTCCAAACGTTTTGTCCATTGCTCAAAACACCTAGAAAATTCCTGTTCCAAAATGCCTCTTAGTGCCTCAATCATTTTTGTTTTCACCTCTTCTACTGTCTGAAATCACTTCCCTTTGAGTTCCCCTTCATCCTGAGAAACAAAAAAAAATTGCAAGGTGCAAGATGAGACAAATAGAGGATGAGGAGAAGGTTCATGCCGTTTCTTGTCAAAAACTGCTACACGGAGAGCACCATGTAAGCGGGTGCGTTGTTGTGATGGAATAATCAATCCCCCATTCATCACAAGTCTCTTCTTTTCCTTCTCACAGCATCACAAAGTCTTTTGAGGACTTTCAGATAATAATGTTGATTGACTGTCTGGACTGGATGAACAAATTTGGAATGATTAATTAAATTGCCTCAATGTCCTTTTTTCCTTATTAATATGTAAATTTTTCGACTATAAATTCGACTTTCATCTATTATCAGGACTTATTATACTGGTTTTACAGATAATATTACAAAGATTAACAGAAAACAATTTTTATTTTATTTCGTATACCTGGACACACACAATTTTGTGTTTCGGACATATTCGTCCCTCCTCAGCAGCTAATGAAGCTAATGAGATAAAAGAAAATATTAAATTTGAAATAGAAACAGAGAAACAAAATAGTATTAATTATTTAGATATAACAATAGAGAGAAAAAGTGATAAATTAATTTATAAAAAATATGTGAAATCTATACAAATACCAAAAACAATTAATTATAAATCTATTACACCTATAAGTATGAAATATAATATATTTAAAATGTATATAAATAAAATAAGACAACGAACTAGTGAAATTAAAACTCAAGAGAAAGAAGAAGAAGAAATAATAAAAATGTTTATGTTAAATGATTATCCAAAAAGTCTATTGAATAAATGGTTAAAAAAATTGGAAATAGATAAACAATCAAACTTAATAGATAAAGAGAAAAGTTTTGTTAAAATAAGGTATATCCCTAAGATATTTGAAAGAATTAAGAAAATATTAAATAGTAAAATCAATCTAATACCGGAAAAAGTAAATACAACAAAAAACCATTTATGTTATAGAAATCAAGGAAATTACGATATATTAGAAGAAAAAGGTGTTGTATATTCATTTAATTGCAGTTGTAAACCAGAAAAAATATATATAGGAGAAACAAAAAGGAAACTAAAAATAAGAATAAATGAACACATCCGTGCAATCAAGAGAAATTATGCAAATTCAGTAGTCGCAGAGCATTGTAATAATACAGGTTGTGAAATTGTATTGAATTCCGTAAAAATAAAGAAAAAAGAGAAGAATAATTACAAAAGACAGCTTTATGAACATATGTATATAATCAGACAAAATAATAGAATAAACAGCAATAATGGCAGAGAAATCCACCAATCATGGTTAAGATTTATAGAAAAAGGGGTGTGTCCAAAAGATGATAAGAACGATGGAAAGAAATGGAAACGAGGTGTGAGACAAACAGAAAGAGAACAAATGTAAGTTGTAATAACAGAAAATAAATGTATAAAATTGATATAATGTAATAGAATTTGGTTTAATGTAGGTTTAAAATAATAGTAATTGCGATATTGTTGATAAAATTTGAATATCCAGTGGAGCAAGAAATTAAAGAAAACTGGAAAATTGTAAGAATTTTATTGAATATTTTGTCGGGAAAAATTTTAAAATGTAAATTTTAATTTTTATTTTTTATTGTTTATAGAACATATTTAAATACCTGCTGAGGAGGGACGAATATGTCCGAAACACAAAATTGTGTATGTGTCCAGGTATACGAAATAAAATAAAAATTGTTTTCTGTTAATCTTTGTAATATTATCTGTAAAACCAGTATAATAAGTCCTGATAATAGATGAAAGTCGAATTTATAGTTGAAAAATTTACATATTAATAAATTTGGAATGAATAATTCCTTTCACATTAAAAAAACAGATTAATGTAGTTTTCACATTTGACTTCACTTGACTTGCTTTTTTTGGGGAATCCTGATGTTTTCCAATAGCTGGATTGATGTTTGGTTTTCAAATCATAACCATAGCACCACAATTTATCACCAGTTATCACCTTAGAAAATAAGTCTGGATCATTTTCCAAATGTTCTTTCAAAGCCTGACAAGCTGCCAAGTGATTGCCTTTCTGATCAACAGTCAACAAGTGCAGAACAAACTTCACTGGCACTACTCTCATGCCAAGTTCTTGTGACAAAATTTGCTGAATTGAACTTCATGAAATCCCAGACAAATTAATGAGTTTATCAATGGTTTGACAGCGATCTTCGTTAATGAGATTGTGAATTTTCTCAATATTTTCATCAGTTCAAACATTGAATGGACAACCAGACATGGGTTGATCTTCAAGAGACATTTCTCCTTTTTGAAAGCAAGAAAACTATTCATAAACCCTTGTCTTACTCATGGCATCTTGTTTGTAAGCACATTGAATCATTTCAACTGTTTCTGATCCACGTTTCCCTAACAGGAAACAAAATTTCACAGCACTGAATTGCTTTATAAAATTTAACATCATGTTTTCAATGAAAACGAAAAACAGGCCAACAGGCGAAAAAAATTGATATAGGCCAACAAGTCTTGACACGCTGACACCGCTTCACATACTGATTCCTGACTGATTCACATACAAGATTGTCTGCTGACATCTAGTGGTGGATATGCATACTATGAACCTCCCACCCTCCCCAAAATTATTCCTGTTATTTTTGGGTCCCCCATGTATAAAGGCAGTAAAGTCAACTTGTCTGAATATGAATTGCTAGGGGAACTGTAGTTAGTTCATTTTGTTGAAAATTCATATTAACGATTTTTAGGGTCAGTGTCAAGGATTTAGGAATTAAGACTTAATAGGCAATTGAAATCTCTAAATTATAATATTTTGAATTAATTTACTAAATAAAGTTTAATAAAATTTATTTACAAAAACAAATGTTCTAAATGATATTTAAATTAAACAAAATGAGATGATGATGATATTCACCATTTAAGTATGAAGAAGTATATCAGAACGGTTAAACAAAACAAAGCTAAAAGAAATCCATGATTTTTTTCTGTTGAAGGATTTCTTTTTTGAAAAATAGAAAATACTTTTTTGTGTCAAAAGAGTAAAAAAGGAGCCAAATTTGGTGGTTGAAGAGATATACAATGAAATATAATAGCTACATCTTTTTAAAGTACTGATCTAGAGTAGTCTGCTTCTTGTTTTTAGTGAAGCTTTTAACATGTAAGATTCTAGGAAAAACATCACATAATATTCAAACCAATATGGTATATAAAAAAAGTATTAATATATATAAGTATACTTAAAATGTGATAAGATTGCACAGAACTTGGAAAGTAGAGATACTAAATGAATTCCAGACTGCCTATTTATACTGTTTTTAAAACCACTGCTAGTTGACTGGCTATTTTTTTTTCTAACCAATCACAGCAATAAATTTAATTAATATTTTGAAAAGGAATAATTGTTGAATTCAAATTCAAAACTGTTTACAGTTGAAATTTGTCAGCCAATCAAAAGCATAATTTCAGTTTTTGAACTATTAAATGGGTGTGGAAAATCAATTAGAAACTGTTTAACTGTTGATACTGGAATCAAACTTAACAAATTTCATTATTAATCTAAATTTTCAAAATTTCAATTTTAAAGTTCATTAGCATTGGGATGTTAAACTAATTAACTTCATAAATTTCAGTATTAATTCCCTATTAGTAATATTGAACATTACATTGCCTTCTTTCAAAATTACAAGAACTCTGTTCATGCTGCTGCTTAAGAACACTATTGAACTGAAGTGATCATTTTACTATACTACTGAAGTGATCATTTTAAGAGGTAAAAATTGTTTCACAGAAGCAATAGTTTGTAACAACTCATGTGCATCTTATGAGGGAATTTTTAATATGTCTTATGGGCAAAATGACAGTCATTACTGTAGAATCTGAACAACTTAAGCAAAAACATTTCATGTGGGAACATCTTAACTGGGTTTTACTGTATAATGTCAATTTTGGGGCCCCAGGCAAATGCCAGGTTTGCCCGTATGTTAAATTTAAAATGTCCCTGCATACTGTTTTCTAGACACATCTTTAGTTTCAAGTTTCTCACTCAGCATGGAAATAAACTATTCCTGGAAATCTACCAACAGCAGCTCATTTCCTCAAGGCACGGCAATATCAGCATGTACTTCCACTACAATGCATAGTCTGCCACAAATGTAGGCATACATTACAGATGGTCTGTCAGATGGTAATGAGGTATTACTTGTTGAGCTTGTTGCCTTCTATTTTTATTCTCCAGTCTGAAGTGGGACATTTAGGCATCTTGGTGAGACAAACAGCACAATGTGGACATCCAGTCACCTTAGTTTAACAAATTCTGGTAAGATTTTTGTTTGCTTTATCATGTGAAAATTAATGCTGTGACCATTGCTTTGCTTTATCAGTGTACTAGAAATTGGCCATCTCAACTTAAAAGGATAGTAGATGAATTGGGTTTTTTTTATTTTTAAGAACAATCCTTATCAATGCTTAGAACATTTTATAGAGATATTGTTTAAAACAGATTTACTCTGGAATCAAGATAGAACCAATGTAGAATGAAGTTCTTCAATTTACTAAGATTCTGGGTTTGCATGGCATGTATCATGTTTATTAATGAACCTAAATTTCACTATTAAGTCTCTTACATTTCAATTAAGTGTTAATAGATTCTGACTCCCGTTCTGACCTCACCATATAAAGATATCTTTGTTAGCTATTTGTTCTTATTGTAAGGTTTATAGTGAGTCTGTATTAGTTCATCTTTTTGCTTCCTGCAAGAAATTTATTTCATAGCTGTCATATCAAAACTAATAAATTTTATGAACTGTCCAAATTATGTAAGTTAAGTATAAAAATAAATAAATACAATTTATTATTTTTATTTTATGACTAATTTCATTTGTCCAGTAACAATAATAAAATAAAATTGTATTTTGTATTAGATTGAAGATCGATTAATCTTAATCCATTAAAATAGGTAAGAGTTGTAAAAACAATGGGGAGTATATTGTAGTTAAACACTTGGTGTTATTTTTTGTGAATGTATGAATACATAGTTGTCAATCCAGTGGGTCAGTTGCCTGTCACAATCTAGTCATATAGTGTGATTCAACTTTAACTTGTGATAAGAATTCGAAATTGGCATATAACCTGTCTAATTACATAACCCACACCGCTTTTCAAATTATCTTTCAAACACAACCTTCAGGTTATTCACTCAAAATTATGAGTAATATGAATTTACATAAATGATCCAAAATTATAATGCATATAGTAACTTACTAATGTGATTAGTAATTGATTAAAGATTCAGAAGAAAAGCAGAATGAGCTTTTTTTTCATTTGTTTTTTGATATTAAATAAAATTATTTAAATCATTTTTCATTAGTCTCAATTGTTAATTGTTTAATGAACAGAATAAAAATTATTATTGGCTATTTCCTGTTTAGCATTCAAAAATAGCATATTATTCTTGAAAAAATATAATTTGAGAGTTTATTAATTTTGAACAAAAGGATGGATTTGAATGGTTAATTTTATAACTTTTTATAAAGGAAATATAAAAATATATTAATAAACTTTTTATTAGAGTATTCAAATAAGTTATGAATTTAATATTTATAATATAAATTATTTCAGAACACTGTGTGTTATACATGCTGTGGATTTTATGGGCCTTGTTTTGGTCAACCTGTATGTAGCACCTGTCATGCCTTTCTATTTCCTGAGGATATCAATCATCCTGATGGTACTTTATTTCAAGAGGTAATTTAAATATTTATAATATAGAAGCAGATTCTAGACTTTGACAAGATGTGATAAGTATATATTTGTAAAAATTTAGAGGAAAAAATATTCAAATAAGAATTCCAAACATAAATTTGCATACATTAATCCTTAGTTAGGTCCATTTGATCCAATATGTAAATTTAAAATATTTTATGAAATACATGTCACTCCAGCATAAGCATTTGTGATTTTTCAGCTTCATGATTTATTATACATACATCCACATTTTAAATGTACTATAAACAAGTGAATTTTATGTAAAAAGAGTAATAACACTATATACTTATCAGGGCACATGGACTCATCACATTGGACATATATAAACTGGTCTTATATAAGAATCTGCAAGTCTGAACATATATAAATTTTAACAAATATATAAGTACAGTGTGTGTCTTATTTTGTAAAGGTACTCCTCACTTTACGACCAAGTTCTGTTCCAACGACTACATCATTAAGTGAATTGGTTGATAAGTGAGGAGCTTGTGTCGGGAATATAGGATCGTTTTAAAATTATATTATAAAAATTATGCAACAAACTTCAAATCTGTTCATAAAAAGACATGCACATGTACATATTGTCATTTGTTTATTTGGTTATCTGGAGATGTAGAGGGTCCAGGTAAGGGAGATGATGACGATTGTTGTATGTACCTTCAAGGGCGAAGGTCCTGGATGTAACAGTCAAAAAGAAACTCATGTGGTTTGCTTTGTAATCTTGTTTTCTTGATAAATTTCTCTATAGCACTTTAAAAGTTCACTTATCCCACATTCAACTTTATTAAAACGTTCAGTATTTGGATCCATAGTCTCAAGTTCCAACATGGCTGCATTAATTTTGGAGAACATACCAGCTAACCCATGTACCATGAATTTCTTTTTCACTTCTTCAGTTCTTTCCTCCTCTTCCTCTTCCAAATGCTGCATTGCTTCTAACTCTATTAAATCCTCATTTGTTAGCTCTCCATTGGCATAATCCACTAATTCAGCAGGTCTTCCACTTCAACATCTAAATTAAGTGCATTGGCAAGGTCTGCAATTGTTTGAATTACGTCAGTTTGTTCAAGATTGTCAAACAATTCGATATTGTTTGTGAAACTTATGTATGCAAGTCATACATAAGTTTCACAGTGTATGTGTGGACAAAGGACAAAGTGACAGATAAGTGTATGCCTTGCATACACTTATCTGTCACTTTGTCCCAAGCTGATTTAATGTTTTTAATGCAATCTAAAATACTGTATGATTTCCAAAAATTATGAAAAGTTACTACATCATTTTCTGTTGCTGCTACCTACAGCTTGGTAAAAAGTCGTGCACAAATAAAATGCTTCGAACATAGCTGTAGAGTCTTGATCCATTGGCTGTAGGACAGCAGTTGTGTTTTTAGGAAAGTATGCTGTGATCATGTCTTTAAAAGCCTTGAAACCAGGCATTGCCTTAGCTTCTTTGTGTATATAGGACCTTTCAGGCATTTTTTTCCCACCATAGTCTGGTTTCATCCACATTGAATATCTGTTCCAGGCAGTAGTTGCCTGTTTTAATTATTCTATCCAATTCATCAACAAATTCTTCTGTTGCTTCTACATCCACGCTTGCCACCTCACCACTGATTCTCCAATTATGCAGGTTGAATCTCCGCCTAAATTGTTGAAACCATCCATGGCTTGCTGTAAATGATTCTGTTGATTTTTTTTTTTTTTTTTTTTTTTTTTTTTTTTTTTTTTTTTTTTTTTTTTTNATGTACAGTAGACCCCCTAAAACACTGTAGCTAATTCCGTGTTATATAAATTCCATGTTGTACGAGTCACTTAGATTTTACAAATACGTGTGCCGGGATGTGAACGGCTCACGTATTTGTAAAATCTAAGTGACTCGTACAACACGGAATTCATATAACACGGAATTATCTACAGTGTTATAGGAGGAAGTCTACTGTATTATAGTACATTTTACTCTGTTTAATTTGAAAAATTTCTATAGAATATTTTATATCTTTCGTGCTTTATTCGATCTTCAAACGAATTATAGATTCTCCTTCGTTTTTTTAAAGCAAATTCTCGCAAGTGTTATTGAAATTCGACATTGGAAACCACGAAATTGGATCGTTTACGTCTGAAAACGTTGAATACGAAAATCTCATTGAATACTAATAGCACATTATTTCCGTCATATCTGATAGTGACGAAAACGACAGCATTGTGAGAGAGAAGTTCTCACGTAATTTCCTATCCAGAAACTTATTAAATAAACTGTTAAAATGGTAAAGTGACTACTGACGAAACTTAGTTTCCACTTTCTACAATCGAAATCTATCAGGAAGTTATGTTAAAAGAGTAATGTTTTATTCATAACACACAGGAAATTGAATAGTAGGTGAAGTAGCACGTGTTACTGCACGTCTCCATCCTAGCTTCAGTAACTTAGCTGCACTCTTGACGTTTCCTTATCTTTTTTTTTTTTTTTCTTTTTCTTGTAATTCAATCCAAAAATGCAAAAAACCAAATGTATCAATTTCAATTTACTATAATTTATTTCAAGTTTTACCACTTGATATCAGGTTTGTTTGTAATTGGTGATAAATGTGTTGTCTTTCCAGGTCAGGGTAGGAAAAGTTTATTACTTCCACTTGAGAGAGTGAATAGTCTTGGCACAATCCCCACTACTAATGTCAACAAACTAATTGTTTTATTTCCTGTAAAACAAAAGTTCCTTCCTGATTAGAAGTGGATCAAATTACAATGTTGTTGTTTCATTGCACTCAGAAGAATGTTATCTTTAACGTCTAAAACCAGTTTTTTTAGATCTAGTTAGTTTATTTTTTTAATGTGATATAGTTACTCAGTTGTCCAAAATTGATTTACCAAAATTCCTCACTCAAAATTTTACAGAAAACATTAACATTTTTTTGCTAATTGGGCTGCAATTTGAAAAAATTTTGGACCTATAAATTCCCACTGTCATCCATCTATCTGTCTTTCCTTAATCACAAGAACAAAGTTAGATATATGAAATCAGAGACAGGTGTGGAAACATTAGGGGAAGGAGGATCCAATTATCTATATAGCAAACTTCCAATGCAAGCTGGAAGTTAGGTTATTTCAATTCAAAAATTTTCCCCTCAAAGGAGTTAGATAGATGACCAGCACGACTCTGTTGCTAACAGAAAAGTATGATGTACAGGGGCAAGACACTACTAATTTGAGGTGGAGAGCATATATTCTAAATTAAATATATTAAAAATATGATTTAAAATTGCAGCCTTGCATTGTGACGCTGTCACAATAAATAATTGCTCATTGTCTAATCAAGATTATTTTCTTTAGGAGAAATGAAACAACTGAAGAAATAATGCATGGACCATCAAAAATGGCAATTTGACATGTTGAATTTGTAAATTAAAAACTTTATAATTTAAAAAATCCTAATAATAATACCAAATAAACATATTACAGTAGTGTGTTGATTATCTGAATGCTGGTCAACCAAAACGTTGGTTAACTGAAAACGTTCCAGTTGGACTGTGTCGTGCTGAATCGAACATTTTTGATACTAGATTAACTTCTAAAGTATAATTTTTTTTGTTTTTATATTTTTCAATATATTTATTTTTTTTGTACAAAATAAAGAAATAATTTTTAATGATATAATAGCCACGATTATTATTATAAAAATTTTTGTTAGGCTTAACATCGACAAAAATTCAATGCGAAGCGACATACAATGGAGAAAAATTTAAACATGGGATATATTAATATACTATATTAATAATGTATTTTTTCGTACATAATCGGATATCTGAAAAATCGATTTTCCGAACAACGCAGTCCCCAATTGGTTTGCATAATCAACGCTCTACTGTAGTTATAATAACTGAATGATACTGTTACATAATAAATGAAAATTTTACTTGTTATAAACTTGGAATTATTAAATTTTTTTCATGTTTTAGTCATGACGAAGCAAAGAGAAAAATCACAATAAATAAATGCATTGGTCCATTTGAAATGAGTTGAAATTGGTCTAGTTATTAAGGAAGAGCAAAGAATACAAGGAATAGTATTTTTGTAAAGATACATTTATTTTATATCGATATGGTGCTGAATTGCACTAATTATATCTGAGACACCAGTATTTTTTCACTTAAAAACTAGGTGCACAGTGCAAAAAGTATGTACTGCATTTTCTGTGACTTGAAAAGTGAAGAGAATACTAATTTTTTCAAAGTCTTATGAAAAATCAATGTTAAAAAAAGTTGCATGGCATCTGTGGAGGGTTAAACCAGAAATTTAAGATGCTGGTATTTCATTTGTCACAAAATGTACCATTGAAATTACAGTAAAATCTCATTTTACAAAGTAGTTAGGTTCCCATTTCAATTTATTAATAATTTATAAATAATTCCATAAATTTTTTATAAATTGGGGCAAAATTGTAATATATTTAAATGAGATTAATTCCTTTAGTATGAAAATTGACTAGTAAAAGTTAATAAATTTTTAATTTTAATAAACAGTTATGGTTATTTTTCATCATTTTTACGTTTTTGGACTCTGGACTTTGAAACTTCGAGAAATGCAAAAATAAAATTGGGGGTAATTTCTGTATGTATGTATGGGGGTGTGTGGAGGGGAGGGCATGATTTTGTTCACCCTCTTTGATGCTTAACTCCTGTGCTTTTTGTTGAAAATTTCTGAAATTTTACAGGGAGGTTTGTTTATTAGGGAAATTGATGCTATTAAATTTTGGTGATTAAAGACCAAGTGGGTGGTGAGATAATGGGGTCATGTGTATTTCCAGTAGGGTAGGATTTAATGAAGATGTTATTTGTTATTAGCATTTACAATTTTTTTTATAAAATCTATAATCCCTACCTTCAAAATTAACCGCTCAGTTCCCGATCAACTTTTAATTAATTATAATTAAACATAAAAAATACTTAAAACTGGAAAAAAAAACAAAAGAAATGGTTAATTTTGAAGAAAAAGCTTCAAAGTTTAACTTCCTTTGTCTCGCCTTTCTGTGAAATTTGACACTGATGAGTCATTGTTTACACAGCTGGATGACCTTGAGAACAGCTTGTGTGGGATTTCCCGGGACATTCTCATAGACGTCTCGGGAGGACAAGGGTTTAAAGTAGGGTGAATACTAGCTGGCCATATGTTTTTAAATATTTTTAAAAAATTAAAATTTTTATTGCAATTTTCGACCTCCCGACTTAATTAAACTTATATATAATAAAATATATTAATTAAAAAAATTAAAAAACTATTGGAGGTCGTTTTTGACATCAGAAAGTAGCTTTAAATAACTTTACCGAAGTCAAATCCGTGCACTACAACTTTAGAACGATTAATTAAATTTGATAAAAATTTGCATTAAAAAACAATTAAGCGTTAATCGTGCATCAGTAAAAGTTGATTAAAATCGCGATAAAATTTTTTGCATGGGTAAAAATTTTTGAAAAAATTTGGAGACTTAAAAAACATTCCAAAAATTAAAAAAAAATTCAAAAGTGGCCTTAACGACTGAGTTTTTCGTAACACTATGTAAACTTGACGAGTTAACTCGTCAATGGTTTAAAAGCTTTTTGAAATTTGACGATAAATAAAAATATAAAAAATTTTTTAAGTATCATCTCACATAATGAACCTGCAAGTGGGCTGCCCATAGCTACACCTTCCTACACCTCCCCAGAAAAGAAAAGAAAAAGCAGATTTTAGAGCTAGCGCACCTTATTACTTTTTTTATCAATATCTAAGTTTGAAGGTGTCACTTACACGCAACAGAAAGGTGTAGCTATGGGCAGCCCGCTTGTAGGTTCGTTATGTGAGATGATACTTAGAATGCTAGAAAATGCAGTTTTGCCAATAAAAAGTTTTTTAATAAGATATAAAAGATGGTGCCATCAAATGTTGCTGGGAAAGTTAAGCAACTTGTTACTGGATTTTTTCAAGATGAATCAGTCTAGGCATTCATTTGATTGTTCTTTTCCATGAAAAAAGTTCACACATTTGGAAAAATCGGACTCAAGTGAATGAATTCAAAACTTGATTAACTTGTCATGATGATATTTGTTTGGCTTGTTGCATCATTTGTGAAACCTTATTCAGTGTTAAATACAATGAAATACTGCATTTACAAGGCATACCAATTGCAAGAAATATTAAAGAAGTGCATCTTCTCATTTGCTTTTCTCCTGGTAATGGCATTGGCCAACGAAGCACTTTCCAAAGATAACGATCCTAGATGACACGATGGGATAATTCGCGATAAATTGAGTAAAAGAGAATTAACTGTAATTTCTTTGAGGGTAGTGTTGCAATATTAATTAACTTTATCTGAAATAAGATTATAAAGTTTTGTAGTACACAAGAAAAGCATGCATATTGACATATAAATGGAGAATTTTTGGATTTCTTTCAAAAGATGATTCCAAATTCCCCAATCATTTTCCATTCTAAGCTCAATGTTTATTAATTAATGAATGGACTGTGCTCATAATGTAAATCTAATTGTTTTAAACTAAAATAAACTTTAGAAAATATTCAAAAGATTTGGAATCAGGAGTTTTCAGCAGAATTGGGAGAAATTTTAGTATTGTCCCATCACTACTTACAATCTGATCTATTTCTTTGGTACAAAGCAAATAAAATAATTTATGAACTTTCTAGTAGTTGTACATTATCAATTAACCAAAAATCATTTTGTCGTGAGCTTTTATTCCATATACTATCCATTCACATGCCCTCTATCTCCATTCCATTATTTAAATTTATGGTGTAGAGAGAAGGATTTTAACATTATTTTTATCAATAACACATCCAGATTTCTCACAATGCTTGAACCTTGGAGATTGGTTCTATTTTGGTCTAATAACTGCTTTGTGTTCTCAAATTCTAATTTGCAGCTGTCTCCCTGTTTCCCCTGTATAACTAGGTTCGTACATGTACAGTTCACTTTATAGATTACCCCACCCACCTCCAAATTTTCTTTCCTTTTTGTTTTACTTATTTTAATTTAATCTTTTAAGTTAGCCACTAATATAATCCCTTAATCTTTAAATTTATTTTTATACTTTTCAAAAAGATCCTTAATGTAAGGAAAAGATATATTTTTTTTTATTTGTATGTTTAACATTAAACTTACTTATATTGTATTCTGATACCTTTTTTTTGTAATAATCTGTGGGGACAGTCATTTAATAAAAATTTATGTAATAACTCATGCTATTCTTTAATCCTTTCTTCTAATTTAGTTGTTCTAGGCCAAATCTTGGATAAGGCTGTCACAAAGTAGTAGTATTTTGTTGCTAAGGGACAATAGGATCTCTAGTTTGTGACTTTATTTACATTACAACTTTTTTTATATGATTGTTATGTTAGGTATACTATTATATCGGGTTATTGTTATTCTTTAAATAATTTTTTTTTAATTCACTATTCAAATTTTAAAGACAAATTTAATGCACAATATTTGCATAATTAGTGATTATATTAACATTTGTCACTGAAGTATCATTTATAATTATTATATCATTGACGTATCTTACCATAAAAACTGTTCTATTTAGTGTTAATAGTTTTTTTTATCTAATTCAATCATACAGATTGGTCCAAAATTAGCTTACCACTGTGCCCATACTTATTCCATTTCATTGTTTATATATTCTTTCTGCAATGAAAAATTAATTATTATTAAAACAAAATTTTATTAAATGTAACAACCATGAGTGTATTTTTAAAGCAGATAAAGGGTTACCCCTTTATCTGCTTTAAAAANATTTGTCGGCCAATCAAAAGCATAATTTCAGTTTTTGAACTATTAAATGGGTGTGGAAAATCAATTAGAAACTGTTTAACTGTTGATACTGGAATCAAACTTAACAAATTTCATTATTAATCTAAATTTTCAAAATTTCAATTTTAAAGTTCATTAGCATTGGGATGTTAAACTAATTAACTTCATAAATTTCAGTATTAATTCCCTATTAGTAATATTGAACATTACATTGCCTTCTTTCAAAATTACAAGAACTCTGTTCATGCTGCTGCTTAAGAACACTATTGAACTGAAGTGATCATTTTACTATACTACTGAAGTGATCATTTTAAGAGGTAAAAATTGTTTCACAGAAGCAATAGTTTGTAACAACTCATGTGCATCTTATGAGGGAATTTTTAATATGTCTTATGGGCAAAATGACAGTCATTACTGTAGAATCTGAACAACTTAGGCAAAAACATTTCATGTGGGAACATCTTAACTGGGTTTTACTGTATAATGTCAATTTTGGGGCCCCAGGCAAATGCCAGGTTTGCCCGTATGTTAAATTTAAAATGTCCCTGCATACTGTTTTCTAGACACATCTTTAGTTTCAAGTTTCTCACTCAGCATGGAAATAAACTATTCCTGGAAATCTACCAACAGCAGCTCATTTCCTCAAGGCACGGCAATATCAGCATGTACTTCCACTACAATGCATAGTCTGCCACAAATGTAGGCATACATTACAGATGGTCTGTCAGATGGTAATGAGGTATTACTTGTTGAGCTTGTTGCCTTCTATTTTTATTCTCCAGTCTGAAGTGGGACATTTAGGCATCTTGGTGAGACAAACAGCACAATGTGGACATCCAGTCACCTTAGTTTAACAAATTCTGGTAAGATTTTTGTTTGCTTTATCATGTGAAAATTAATGCTGTGACCATTGCTTTGCTTTATCAGTGTACTAGAAATTGGCCATCTCAACTTAAAAGGATAGTAGATGAATTGGGTTTTTTTTATTTTTAAGAACAATCCTTATCAATGCTTAGAACATTTTATAGAGATATTGTTTAAAACAGATTTACTCTGGAATCAAGATAGAACCAATGTAGAATGAAGTTCTTCAATTTACTAAGATTCTGGGTTTGCATGGCATGTATCATGTTTATTAATGAACCTAAATTTCACTATTAAGTCTCTTACATTTCAATTAAGTGTTAATAGATTCTGACTCCCGTTCTGACCTCACCATATAAAGATATCTTTGTTAGCTATTTGTTCTTATTGTAAGGTTTATAGTGAGTCTGTATTAGTTCATCTTTTTGCTTCCTGCAAGAAATTTATTTCATAGCTGTCATATCAAAACTAATAAATTTTATGAACTGTCCAAATTATGTAAGTTAAGTATAAAAATAAATAAATACAATTTATTATTTTTATTTTATGACTAATTTCATTTGTCCAGTAACAATAATAAAATAAAATTGTATTTTGTATTAGATTGAAGATCGATTAATCTTAATCCATTAAAATAGGTAAGAGTTGTAAAAACAGTGGGGAGTATATTGTAGTTAAACACTTGGTGTTATTTTTTGTGAATGTATGAATACATAGTTGTCAATCCAGTGGGTCAGTTGCCTGTCACAATCTAGTCATATAGTGTGATTCAACTTTAACTTGTGATAAGAATTCGAAATTGGCATATAACCTGTCTAATTACATAACCCACACCGCTTTTCAAATTATCTTTCAAACACAACCTTCAGGTTATTCACTCAAAATTATGAGTAATATGAATTTACATAAATGATCCAAAATTATAATGCATATAGTAACTTACTAATGTGATTAGTAATTGATTAAAGATTCAGAAGAAAAGCAGAATGAGCTTTTTTTTCCTTTGTTTTTTGATATTAAATAAAATTATTTAAATCATTTTTCATTAGTCTCAATTGTTAATTGTTTAATGAACAGAATAAAAATTATTATTGGCTATTTCCTGTTTAGCATTCAAAAATAGCATATTATTCTTGAAAAAATATAATTTGAGAGTTTATTAATTTTGAACAAAAGGATGGATTTGAATGGTTAATTTTATAACTTTTTATAAAGGAAATATAAAAATATATTAATAAACTTTTTATTAGAGTATTCAAATAAGTTATGAATTTAATATTTATAATATAAATTATTTCAGAACACTGTGTGTTATACATGCTGTGGATTTTATGGGCCTTGTTTTGGTCAACCTGTATGTAGCACCTGTCATGCCTTTCTATTTCCTGAGGATATCAATCATCCTGATGGTACTTTATTTCAAGAGGTAATTTAAATATTTATAATATAGAAGCAGATTCTAGACTTTGACAAGATGTGATAAGTATATATTTGTAAAAATTTAGAGGAAAAAATATTCAAATAAGAATTCCAAACATAAATTTGCATACATTAATCCTTAGTTAGGTCCATTTGATCCAATATGTAAATTTAAAATATTTTATGAAATACATGTCACTCCAGCATAAGCATTTGTGATTTTTCAGCTTCATGATTTATTATACATACATCCACATTTTAAATGTACTATAAACAAGTGAATTTTATGTAAAAAGAGTAATAACACTATATACTTATCAGGGCACATGGACTCATCACATTGGACATATATAAACTGGTCTTATATAAGAATCTGCAAGTCTGAACATATATAAATTTTAACAAATATATAAGTACAGTGTGTGTCTTATTTTGTAAAGGTACTCCTCACTTTACGACCAAGTTCTGTTCCAACGACTACATCATTAAGTGAATTGGTTGATAAGTGAGGAGCTTGTGTCGGGAATATAGGATCGTTTTAAAATTATATTATAAAAATTATGCAACAAACTTCAAATCTGTTCATAAAAAGACATGCACATGTACATATTATCATTTGTTTATTTGGTTATCTGGAGATGTAGAGGGTCCAGGTAAGGGAGATGATGACGATTGTTGTATGTACCTTCAAGGGCGAAGGTCCTGGATGTAACAGTCAAAAAGAAACTCATGTGGTTTGCTTTGTAATCTTGTTTTCTTGATAAATTTCTCTATAGCACTTTAAAAGTTCACTTATCCCACATTCAACTTTATTAAAACGTTCAGTATTTGGATCCATAGTCTCAAGTTCCAACATGGCTGCATTAATTTTGGAGAACATACCAGCTAACCCATGTACCATGAATTTCTTTTTCACTTCTTCAGTTCTTTCCTCCTCTTCCTCTTCCAAATGCTGCATTGCTTCTAACTCTATTAAATCCTCATTTGTTAGCTCTCCATTGGCATAATCCACTAATTCAGCAGGTCTTCCACTTCAACATCTAAATTAAGTGCATTGGCAAGGTCTGCAATTGTTTGAATTACGTCAGTTTGTTCAAGATTGTCAAACAATTCGATATTGTTTGTGAAACTTATGTATGCAAGTCATACATAAGTTTCACAGTGTATGTGTGGACAAAGGACAAAGTGACAGATAAGTGTATGCCTTGCATACACTTATCTGTCACTTTGTCCCAAGCTGATTTAATGTTTTTAATGCAATCTAAAATACTGTATGATTTCCAAAAATTATGAAAAGTTACTACATCATTTTCTGTTGCTGCTACCTACAGCTTGGTAAAAAGTCGTGCACAAATAAAATGCTTCGAACATAGCTGTAGAGTCTTGATCCATTGGCTGTAGGACAGCAGTTGTGTTTTTAGGAAAGTATGCTGTGATCATGTCTTTAAAAGCCTTGAAACCAGGCATTGCCTTAGCTTCTTTGTGTATATAGGACCTTTCAGGCATTTTTTTCCCACCATAGTCTGGTTTCATCCACATTGAATATCTGTTCCAGGCAGTAGTTGCCTGTTTTAATTATTCTATCCAATTCATCAACAAATTCTTCTGTTGCTTCTACATCCACGCTTGCCACCTCACCACTGATTCTCCAATTATGCAGGTTGAATCTCCGCCTAAATTGTTGAAACCATCCATGGCTTGCTGTAAATGATTCTGTTGATTTTTTTTTTTTTTTTGCCTTCATATGCCTTCAAAGTCTCAAAGATACTGTGTGCCTTAGCTTGAATTATTAAAAGGCTTATTGGCATATTATTTTGCATTTGGTTGTCAAACCAGATGGCCAATAATTTCTCCATTTCATGAACAAGACCTTTTTGCTGCCTGGTTATTATGGCTTTAAATCCTGTTGATAATTTCACTGCTTCTTTCACTCTAACTTTATCTATCCTTTAAATCGTTGAAATTGTCGAATGTGCCAATTTTAAGTCACATGCTATTTCTTTAACCATTTTACCATCTTCGTAGTCTTGTATGATTTTTATTTTCATTTCAAGGTCAATAGCTTTCCTTTGTTTCTTAACAGCTTCTCCAGATGATGTCATTCTTTTTCTTTTCGTTGACAGGAGTTACAAATATGTAAAAAAAAAAAAAAAACGAGGTTACATAGTGACTGCTTGTCAGAATGAAACTGACTGAAAAATTGCATAGCAAACCTATAGTATGCTCAGTGTGCATGTCACCATTCACCACTGACTGACACTAAAGCTGAGAAAGGGGATTCCCTGAATTGCAGATTGAAACTCGATTGGTCGTAAGTGCGAGTGGTCGTTAAGCAGATAGGTCGTAAAGTGAGAAATACCTGTATTGGCAAGTTTAAATGGTCAGCCATTTTAACTGAAAGCAATTTTATCTAAAGATGAAATTGAAAACTGAAAGTGTAAATGATATAGATGATTGACATGTCAGTGATACCAATGCATTATCAGGTAGTGAAAGTGAAGTAAATAATGATTATAATTTTAACCTAAAGAGGGGATCAGACATATGAGTTGGGACATGTGATTTTTCACAGATGACAGTTTTTATTCTAAAATTATGAAATTATATAGGTATCCCATCAAAAACTGCAATTATATCTTAAATTCATTTTGTTTTCTTTCTAACTGTATAAAATACTTGTGATTTGAAACAATGCATTTCTTGTGCTCTTTTTTTTTTTTTTTCTTTTTCTTGTAATTCAATCCAAAAATGCAAAAAACCAAATGTATCAATTTCAATTTACTATAATTTATTTCAAGTTTTACCACTTGATATCAGGTTTGTTTGTAATTGGTGATAAATGTGTTGTCTTTCCAGGTCAGGGTAGGAAAAGTTTATTACTTCCACTTGAGAGAGTGAATAGTCTTGGCACAATCCCCACTACTAATGTCAACAAACTAATTGTTTTATTTCCTGTAAAACAAAAGTTCCTTCCTGATTAGAAGTGGATCAAATTACAATGTTGTTGTTTCATTGCACTCAGAAGAATGTTATCTTTAACATCTAAAACCAGTTTTTTTAGATCTAGTTAGTTTATTTTTTTAATGTGATATAGTTACTCAGTTGTCCAAAATTGATTTACCAAAATTCCTCACTCAAAATTTTACAGAAAACATTAACATTTTTTTGCTAATTGGGCTGCAATTTGAAAAAATTTTGGACCTATAAATTCCCACTGTCATCCATCTATCTGTCTTTCCTTAATCACAAGAACAAAGTTAGATATATGAAATCAGAGACAGGTGTGGAAACCTTAGGGGAAGGAGGATCCAATTATCTATATAGCAAACTTCCAATGCAAGCTGGAAGTTAGGTTATTTCAATTCAAAAATTTTTCCCTCAAAGGAGTTAGATAGATGACCAGCACGACTCTGTTGCTAACAGAAAAGTATGATGTACAGGGGCAAGACACTACTAATTTGAGGTGGAGAGCATATATTCTAAATTAAAAAAATTAAAAATATGATTTAAAATTGCAGCCTTGCATTGTGACGCTGTCACAATAAATAATTGCTCATTGTCTAATCAAGATTATTTTCTTTAGGAGAAATGAAACAACTGAAGAAATAATGCATGGACCATCAAAAATGGCAATTTGACATGTTGAATTTGTAAATTAAAAACTTTATAATTTAAAAAATCCTAATAATAATACCAAATAAACATATTACAGTAGTGTGTTGATTATCTGAATGCTGGTCAACCAAAACGTTGGTTAACTGAAAACGTTCCAGTTGGACTGTGTTGTGCTGAATCGAACATTTTTGATACTAGATTAACTTCTAAAGTATAATTTTTTTTGTTTTTATATTTTTCAATATATTTATTTTTTTTGTACAAAATAAAGAAATAATTTTTAATGATATAATAGCCACGATTATTATTATAAAAATTTTTGTTAGGCTTAACATCGACAAAAATTCAATGCGAAGCGACATACAATGGAGAAAAATTTAAACATGGGATATATTAATATACTATATTAATAATGTATTTTTTCGTACATAATCGGATATCTGAAAAATCGATTTTCCGAACAACGCAGTCCCCAATTGGTTTGCATAATCAACGCTCTACTGTAGTTATAATAACTGAATGATACTGTTACATAATAAATGAAAATTTTACTTGTTATAAACTTGGAATTATTAAATTTTTTTCATGTTTTAGTCATGACGAAGCAAAGAGAAAAATCACAATAAATAAATGCATTGGTCCATTTGAAATGAGTTGAAATTGGTCTAGTTATTAAGGAAGAGCAAAGAATACAAGGAATAGTATTTTTGTAAAGATACATTTATTTTATATCAATATGGTGCTGAATTGCACTAATTATATCTGAGACACCAGTATTTTTTCACTTAAAAACTAGGTGCACAGTGCAAAAAGTATGTACTGCATTTTCTGTGACTTGAAAAGTGAAGAGAATACTAATTTTTTCAAAGTCTTATGAAAAATCAATGTTAAAAAAAGTTGCATGGCATCTGTGGAGGGTTAAACCAGAAATTTAAGATGCTGGTATTTCATTTGTCACAAAATGTACCATTGAAATTACAGTAAAATCTCATTTTACAAAGTAGTTAGGTTCCCATTTCAATTTATTAATAATTTATAAATAATTCCATAAATTTTTTATAAATTGGGGCAAAATTGTAATATATTTAAATGAGATTAATTCCTTTAGTATGAAAATTGACTAGTAAAAGTTAATAAATTTTTAATTTTAATAAACAGTTATGGTTATTTTTCATCATTTTTACGTTTTTGGACTCTGGACTTTGAAACTTCGAGAAATGCAAAAATAAAATTGGGGGTAATTTCTGTATGTATGTATGGGGGTGTGTGGAGGGGAGGGCATGATTTTGTTCACCCTCTTTGATGCTTAACTCCTGTGCTTTTTGTTGAAAATTTCTGAAATTTTACAGGGAGGTTTGTTTATTAGGGAAATTGATGCTATTAAATTTTGGT